TGTATCTTAGACAAACTTTCTTCTATATACACCTCTAAAGCAACAATACAGGGAAAAAGACTCCTGTTGCATTCAAACCTACGTGTAGTCAGTATCACCCCACAAGTATCAGTTTTATAAACTTTATGTGAAAAAAGTGGTGTGGTTGTTCACATATCGAAAGGAGTATTTACAAATACATTGAAACTGTGTGTGTGTTTGTGTTTGTGTGTGTGTGTGTGTGTGTGTGTATGTGTGTGTGTGTGTGTGTATGTGTGTGTGTGTGTGTGTGTGTGTGTGTGGGTCGATGCGTCTTGTTAATATCATTAATTAAATAGAAAATAATACTGACAAAGCAAAAACAACGTGAGTTAGGGCATTGTTTTCCAAGCTGTGATTGGTAATATATTAGATCCTTAAAACGTTAATTATAATTGATATAAAGTCAGAGGTTAGAGAATACAAATGCTTGACCTTTGCTGATAATCGCTTAACACATTCCAGGATGTCCCAGCAATTAGAGACTGGAAGTATGATCTTTTTAGTTCAAGTTAATTTTATGATTTAATGCCAGAACCTCTGTCTAATTGTATTTGTATGTGTGAGTTGGTTTAACGAAGTGATTTCGTAAATAATACCATGCCATCATTAATTTCTTTTGTGAATCAGTATCAGTATCTACTAAGAATAAATTTGAATGGAATGCTCTTTTATCATATCCCTTGCATTATTACATTGACCTGGAAATCATTATCATTAATTTGAACAAGTTCGAACACAAAAAAATGATTTAAATAGATATTGTGCCCCGACGGTCCTAATAAATCATTTCCTCTTTTCTATCTTGATTTGTCTTCTGATGAGGTCTTCTTTCAATCAAATTGTCCAAGTGTCTGAGACATTCTAATCTGGGCCAATACGTCAGCAAGAAGCTAGCTTGCATTTTTTTCTTCTTCTTTTTATTTCTTCTACGTTTCTTTCATTACCTCTGATATGGATAATATGCATTATGTTAATGAAATGCCACTGCTATGAGGAAATACACTTATAATAATATATAATATATACTGATTATCATCTACAATCATTGGCATTCGTAAATATTAGTATTTCCGCGACAAAGCCATAGCATACAACTTTACGTTTAAAGCACACAAAATGTGATAAATACTTTTCCTAAGAAATTAATTATTATTGTCATTACTTTTACAATTATTGATGGCCTTATTATTAACATTACAATTATGCATTATAAATTTCAGCTCTGATCAATCATACATGACTAAAGAATGGATAAATTAATTATCAATGTTAATGTCATGCGCTATTCTCTCTCTCTCTCTCTCTCTCTCTCTCTCTCTCTCTCTCTCTCTCTCTCTCTCTCTCTCTCTCTCTCTCTCTCTCTCTTCTCTCTCTCTCTCTTCTCTCTCTCTCTCTCTCTCTCTCTCTCTCTCTTCTCTCTCTCTCTCTCTCTCTCTCTCTCTCTCTCTCTCTCTCTCTCTCTCTCTCTCTCTCTCTCTCTCTCTCTCTCTCTCATAGTTTATATGCAGTATGTACATGTATTATGCATGTTTATATGTATATATTCTTACATATATATATATATATATATATATATATATATATATATATATATATATATATATATATATGTATATATATATATATATATATATATATATATATATATATATATATATATATACATACATATGTGTATGTATATATGTGTGTATACATATATATGCATATATATATATATATATATATATATATATATATATATATATATATATATATATATATATATATATATATATAATATATATATATATATATATATATATATATATATATATATATATTCATATATGTATATATATATGTATACATATAGGCTACATATACATATATATATGTATATACATATATGTATACATATAGGCTACATATACATATATATACTTCCTAGTAACCTCGTCGAGAAGAGTACTGACACTATATAATTTTATTTGATATGTGTGCGTATGCTCGTGTCAGTTTGAGTTTATACGGGTGCATTTCATTAGCCATCCGTTATTCACTCATCACAATGTTTTTTTGTTTTAATTTTTGTTTGTTTTTTTCTTTTCAACTCCAATAGCTTGTCGGAAAAGGAAAAACGAGGGTATCGAATATCGTTTTCTCGTGAAAGCAAATAAGTAAATAAACTTATTTATTAGAACTAGAAATAATTTTCCCGCGGATTAATTGAGTCGGGGTAAGAAAGCAAATTCATCTTCTATATTGAAATCGACCAATAATTATATGATTTAATAGTAATGAAGTTGTATAAGCAATATTGATAATACAAATGCTACAAATACTGGTGATGATATTGAAATTATTATAATTATATTTCTTAAAAAAAAAAAAAAAAAAAAAAAAAAAAATTGGTTACAATAAAGACGATAGTGGGTATTTCATATTAGTGTATATGTAAGGAGCTTAGTTGTAATAAGCAGTATTATCACTATTACATCTCTCTCTCAAACACACAAGCAAACTGCTGTTATTTCCTCAATGACTAGTTAAGCATTTAATTATTAATGATGATGCAATTTTAATTAACTCAATAATTTCTTGTTCAATCTGAAAGTCTTATGCTGTCGAAACTTTAACATCTCGAAAACATATGTAATAAATTTTGGAATGCAATACCAAATTTACCGTAGAACGATCTTTCTTAACTTTTTAGAGTGTAATACGGAGTTAGTAGTTCAATTTTTATTTGTAAAAACTTTCATTTTACAAGACTATAAGTAGGGAACTGCAGCCTTCCTATCAAAATACTTATGCACTGGATTTACCAAACCATAAGATTAAGCATAAATAGGCGCTGGCTGATAAGAAGTGGAAGGTCTTCGGGCGCCGTACGGGACCTCTTCCTCGTACGTAACTTGGGCCACGTATCCGTCGCCATTTACGGTGAACGACACCCTCTGTACACGACCGTCAGGAAGCAGTACAAAATATCCTCTTTGAGTGTTGTATCCAAAAAAATGCTAGATGATAGTCGTTTACTAAGCCGTACAAGTCATACATAATAAGTGGGCTTACAATTTAAAAAAAATAAAAACATGTCTCAAGCTAATTCCTTTTTCCATCCAGCAACTTGGATTGAAATAATGTTTATTATTGTACTTCACAACATTTTATTGCAAATTTGTAGCATGCAAGTGCCTGTACAATATTTATAAAACATTTCTGATATTTGGCAGGTCGATAAAATGACTTCATTTATTAGAACTTTATTGTGACCATAATAAATAAATATATTGTCAACTCTCAAGATTCAGGGAACCCAATTTATAGGTTTAAGCATAAGCAGGAGCAGGCTGGTAAGAAGTGGAAGGTCTTGGGGCGCCGTATTGAGCCTCTCCCTCGTACGAAACTTGGGCAACGTATCCAGAGTCGCCGTTCACGTTGTACGATACCCTCTGTACACGGCCGTCGGGAAGCAGTACAAAGTAGGCTCCTTGAGTGTCGTATCCATTACGATTTTCTTGATGGCCGAAGTCGTTATTGGAGTAATCATGATTCACTGCATAGTTGAAGTCGTACTGGACCGGTCCCTGTAACAAGATCAACTTAATGATTATATGTAAATCATGCAGAGAAATGTGAATAATGTATGATAAATTATCAAATGGTTCATTTATTTCATGCCCTCTACATTACCGTGGGAACAGGAGCACTATAGGACGGAGCAGGTGCGCTGTAGGATGGAGGAGAACTGCCAAGAACACCAAACACGAGAGCCGATAGAACGATAACCTGACAGAAAAAAAAATAGTCCACAGTTATTTAATAGTGAATTGTGTGTAAACAAATTTGTACGCATACATAACCAACATTAGGTAACAAACCTTCAGAGCCATTTTAGAGTTGGAAGTGTACAGGAAACGAAGTGAACCAGGCTTTTATAGTTCAGACACCGCCTACTCCGGCTTCTCTGACCTCTGTGGCAAAGGAAATTGCAAGATTTTTCCGCATTTTTTCAAATATCGAGGTTTCTAAAATATATATTATGACGTAACAAATGGAATACTGATAAAACTGATTCATTTCATTGGAAAAAATATCGATTTAATTTGATAGTAGCGATGCTATCATTAAAGTTAAAGAAAGTAATTTCGCTTGTATTATAATTATTGTCATTAATATAATTAATACCGTTGTTACGATATATATAATCATTTCTGTAAATATTAGCTGTAGTGGTATTATCCTGTCTTTATTGTTATATTGCTAACATTTCTATAGACATGATTGCGCTATCAGTAATATTATTATTATTAGTGTTGCTGGAGTATTTACTGTGATGGTTTTAATAGCGCTGTTTATTTTACAACTACAATTATTGAATTCACCCTCCTTACTATAATTCTTATCACTGATGTGTTATCCTTGTAAACAGTATCACTTTAACCTGTACTATCATCCTATCAGTACCATTGTGATAATTAAGAAATCATTATTACTACTATGATAATTAGCATGATTATCATCACGATCTCTTTTAATAGTCGGTAACATTGCTTTTATTATTCGCATTACTGTATTCCATAACCCTTTGTGATAATCATCTCAGACATTAGTATTAGTAGTAACGAAAAGTAGTGCTAATACTAACAGTAAGAAAAATAATGATTACTATCGTTATTATTAGAGCTATTTTATTATATTATATTATATTTGTCTATATTAAAATTTCTTATATCATTGATTTAACTATTGTCATCGTTTTCAATATCATCATAAATACAACTATTGTTATTTCAGTATTACTATTTCCATCGATTTTATTACCATTGTTGTTACCACCGCCATCATCAGTAACATATTAACATATTTCATTTATTAACATCAGATTACGTAGAGCTTTCATTTGCAGTTAGAGCTGTCAGTTACAGTGAATTAAATCAAAACACAATACAAAAACACTGCAGTTACAGTTAACTTTCCCTGTTTCTGAGGTCATGGATTCTGCTATAGGCTGCGTCGGTGTGCCCTATAAAAGCCAGATTCGCCTATGTTTCTCAGCAGTTCCATTTAAAATGACATTTAAGGTTAGTGCTCATTATCTAGCCCTGTGTTGAATAATCTATTAATTGCTGGATTAAAGGAACCTGCCCAGTAAGACTTCAACTACACTGCGAATCATGATTATTCCAATATCGACTTTGGCCGCCAAGAAAATCGAAATGGATACACCACTCAAGGAGCTTACTTTGTACGGTTTCCCGATGGTCGTGTATAGAGGGTATCGTACAACGTAAATGGCGACGCTGGATACGTGGCCCAAGTTCTTTACGAGGGAGAGGCTCAATACGGAGCCTGTAGACTATCCACTTCTTACCAGCCTGCTTCTTCTTATGCTTAACCCTAACAATTAGCATATTCTTCATTTTTGCAGAAATCAGAATATAACCATTTAATACAATTACAATAAAAGTTTTCACAGATAAAAATATATAATTTCCTGCATATAAAATATACCTAGGAAATGCATTGTTGGATGTCAAAGAAGACGAATCTATGGATATCAAAATAAAATTTAAAAGTATCTACAGTCGAATTGTATGTATATATATATATATATATATATATATATATATATATATATATATATATATATAT